AGTTTGTCGTCTGAAAAATCAATCAATGTTAGAGATTCTTCCTAGTGAAACTTGGTATCGGAATCTTTATCACAAAATAATGGTACCTTATTGTAGCAAGTCTTTAGTATTTAAAATACTTGTGTTTCTATAAGAGAAATTATGTTGCTGATGAATAAGTTTCATAAATAAGATCATGTTAATGCACAGCGCTGACTCATTGCTATAATGGAAACTTGTTCAAACAAACATGCTTCTTCTCTCCCTCTTTGTACTCTATCTCAAAATCAAAACAGTTCAGATGTTATTAAGACAGTCACTACCGTAAACTGCACAATCGCACGCATGGATAATTATTTTTTGCTAAATTTAGTTCATCGTATAAGAGATTCTTCCGATGAAACTCCTGCAAGAAATAATTTATCTCATTGTAAATAGCCACTAAGAGATTTGAAACTTTATTAGTGCAATTATGTATTGCTGATGAATAGGTTTGTAATATTCCATATAGTTTTTATATTTTGTTACATAAAGGAAGTATCACAGTAAAGTATTACAGTCAATATCGGCGTAATGCATTTTTGTTCAAAATTGCTGAGTTACTCCCTAATCGCGTCTAAAGCAGTTTTACTTCAAAACTAGTCGACTAAACAAATACAAAAATGTGATATATTCATGTGTTTCTGAATTTGAATTTTACCTGATTTTACCTGATATTAATCTGATTTCCCAAGACCTCTTCCAAAGATCAATCAGATTGATCCCTCCACTCTTTGATTAACCCGTCTCACAAACCAGGGGTTGTTCCGACCTTCGTCGGGATACGTATTGACCCCAATTTGTAGTTAATTGCCAAACGAGGTCAAAACTGTAATTTGCAATCAGTTTCAGTGTTTTGTCACAGCCACCAGCGAGGTCTAGTTGCAATTTAATGAGCATTTGATAGGCGAAATTCCAATTTGGATTAAATATCAAATATATTTTTATAGTTCATATTAGTGTGTCAACTACACACAATGTGTGCACCTAGTTAGGGAAAAGTAATTAACGCTTGAAATTAATAAACGCATATATATATATATATATATATATATATATATATATATATATATATATATATATGCAATAGGTAAGTCCTGGATTTTTTCAATATATTGATTGTTTCTTTTCCGAACAGTAAATCCAATAATAAACAATTTGTTTTTTGAAGATGTTTAATACGACGTTTCGGAACTAGGTACGTTCCATCATTAGGTTTATTCGGTAATAATTTATATATCCATATCACTAATATTTTTTTGTTAAAAACACTCGATTTTTTTGGAGGATATTTGTAGATGTTACGACTTGAGTGTGTTAAGTCTTGTGTAGTCGTAACATCTACAAATATCCTCTAAAAAAATCGAGTGTTTTTAACAAAAAATATTAGTGATATGGATATATAAATTATTACAGAATAAACTTG